TGGCCTTGGCATGTGTGGCTTAGTATCAGGCTAGCAGGAGAGGTGAAAATACATTTCTCCTAACGATTCTGTCCAATCTTAAGCTTCCTTATTCTTTATTCTAATATTCTTTCAGGAAACAGATCACCAAATTCTCAAATAATCCCTTTTATTTCCATACACTGTTTACAATTAATTTCTTTTGACAAATTAATTGTTATACTCCATTTTTATACTTACTGGGAGCACTTTATGTACCAGAAGATAATTTTCCTGCCATTATTTATTAAATATGCTCCGTGGAGACTGAGTTAGGCCATATAATTACCACTCCTCAGTTTCTAACAAACCTGTGACAGTTGCTATAATAAAAATTATTTCCCAGTAGTACCAGAGATATGATATTAGATTTTGGAAGCATATCAAAGTCCCAATATGAAAAATAATGTATTACTATGTAATGTATTCCTAAAAACATAATTTGAAGTTAACTTTCTCAAATGTCAATATACCTATATGGAAAACTGACACCACGTTTAGCTTCTTGACTTTTTTAGGGTCTAAAACCCAAATGCCAAACCTTCCACACTCCCAATTTCTCCTATAACCATGATCAAATTTTGTAGCCAAATCATCATGTCTTACTTAGTTTTTCTACTTATAAATTATGGATGATAATATCTGTTCCTTACTTGCTACATGTCATATATCTACTTGTGCATTTCAGGATATACTCTGTTTTAAAATAAATAACCACCCAATTTTCCCTTCCATTAAGCCAAGGTTAAAAATAGATTTTAAAATCTGAATACACCTGCATTTTGAATTCCTTAGAGTAAGTTAACATATGAAAACTGTTATTGAAATTCTTGACAGGACTCTTAATCACTACAGATTCATATGATGAGTTTTATGAATGACATTAAGGAAAGGAAATATTCTTCCTTTCCTTTTAAGTCCTTCCCTTAAACTTTCTAATGTGATTGATGTGGTATATATCTCAGGGTTTTTATTCTAGCTGAGTGCGATATGGGAGCAATGGAGAAAATTATGAGGAAAGCTGAAAACCACAGTAAGGCAAATTCCTACTTTCCATGGGAATATTCCCTACAAGGGCCAAGAGACTAACATATACTATGCATCTCCATTGGGGATGAGAGGCAAGAGTTTGCTCTGAAATTGACTTCAGAGCAGAGATGCCAAAGCACATAAATCACTGTAAGTGAAATACTTTGAAAGTATATGGGCTTTAAAATTATTTGTGTAGGTTAAATGTTTTAGTAGGAAGTATTCATTGCTGTCGGATGCGATGAGGGCACATGCCCATCAGGATCTCTAGAGACCCCCTTTGATGCATTATTTTTAGACCAATGCCTAGCACAGCAGACGCTCCCAACACATGTCACCGCATGAAGAAAAATAAGCCAAAGTTCAAACGTGTTACACTTCACCTAAGCCAAAATTGTATTCTATGGAGCAAGAATTAAGTAAAGGCCTCAAAGTTCTTGGATTCCTTCAGTCCATACACATTTATCATCAGTAAGAATTCTGGAGGGATGAGCAAACTTAAGTGCCTACTTGACCCAACGACTCAAACCATTAATAGAATAAAGTGCAAAGCATCCTTTTATTTCCTAGGACCCCTGCCCCTAGCCAAGCTCATCCTCAAAGACCCTGTTCCACTTTGTGTGGCCATTGTGGCGTGACTTACAACCCTCAAACCATTTATACAGAACTTTGAGAGAAGAATGGTACTTTTACAGGTTACCAAGTCTCTATAGTGGCTCCATTCCATTTTTTTTCCCCCTTTAGAGGAATCTTTTGTAACTTAAGTAAAAAGACTTCAGTCATCTCTCTGATGGAGGATGAGGGACATCACATGTATGGATAGGCAAGAGATAACCTATTTGTTTTTCTAAAATTCCACTGGACATAAATCTCTGATCATAGATCATCAAGGACTTCTCCAGTTTATAACCCAGAAGTTCACTGAATATTCAACAAGTCACCCAGACATTGGTCAATAAGAAGTCACCTAAGTGGATTGATCCACCTACCCAGATTCTATGATGAGAACGGTGATTCCCAAATCCCAAAGTAATGGGATAGTCACCTTTGTAAAGTGAAGTAAGTACCATATGGTAAGAGGCAACCGGTCGGTATAAAGAGAATTAGAAGAGTGAAACATTAAAGATGCCGATGGACTTGGTGTACAGTCTGGTGGCCCCTGCTTATTCGAATTCAGCCTAAATTGCTGAAGTGGGTTTTGACTTTGCCTCAGCCCCTGGGACTGACCTGTACTGCTTTGGTCTAGCAGATCTCAAACAGGGCAAACATTTCAGCATTCCCTGGAGGATATCCCAGACCACACTCACTCCATATGCCTGAGGGAAATGACCCCGAGGAGGTCCCTTTCCTCCAAGTTAATTGTTAGAAGTCTCCAGAGAGATCCGGAAAGTACTGGATTAATCTAATACCATAAGATTGTTAGTAGTAATTCAGCTATGAACAGAAAAGGTGGAGACCGTCAAATTGGTATCACCGTCAGGGTTCAACTGGCCTAGGAAATGTAACGAGTCTGGAATAACTCTTCTGCAAGACTAGAGATAAAATAGAGCCGCCTCCAATTTGAAGAGTGATTGTCACTCCCGGCGATTGCTTCTCTGACTGCTAATAAAGAGCTAACAGTTCACTGAATGCTCACCATTAGCCAGCACTGCTCTAAGTATTAGAGCAAGTATTGATTTGTTTAATTCTCACGACAACCCCAAGAGGTAGGAATTATTACCGTTCTGATTTCATCAATGAAGAAATGGAAGCCTAGAGAGGTTAAGTAACTTGCCCGAAGTTATTCAGCAAATGATGTCCAACCCGTGGCTCAGTACCAGGCGCGGTGTTTATGCTTCTGTACGTTCTCATGCGGCCGCCCTGTCACTTCCCTTCCCTGAAAGTTTGGAAGAGTGCCCGTGACCAACCACAGACAGCCAGATGAGGACGACAAGCACGGTGTCTGTGGGAGCCTGCAACTCTGGCCCAGCGGGGAGGAGAGTTTTCCCTCACCTAGCTCCTCGAGACCCTCCTCACCTGTCTCCCCTAACTGCTGGTCTCTCCACAACTTCTCTGTTGAAAGAAAACTTAGATTTACAGATACCATCAGGGCTACACAGTACGAGCAAACTTCAAGTGGATCCTACTTTATACACTGGAAAACTAGAAAGAACAGAGACCTGGCTGTCTGCAATGCTCTTTGTATCACACCCAGGGAGGTTCCAAAGCAATTAGGAGCACATGATGCTCCCAACAGGCGCTCGTGAAATTTCAGAGTTGCATGATTCATATGTGCGTGCCTTAAACATCAAGACTCATTTTGCCCATCGAATTTGCTTTTCTGGTACTGGGCTTTTTAAAGTGGATATAAGGAAAGGATAGAAGACACCCTTGTAAGTGATATTCAAAACAACGGAATGAAGGACTTTCATGCCTTCTTTCTTTTAATTCGCCTGGTCTTAAAAGACAGACTTTTTCCCCCTCTGAGTATCTTGACAGTCATTTAGGTGACTAAAATACCCAGTATATCTTAGTGAAAAGCTATTTTTAAAATTACTTGATTTAGAAAACTCCAATCATGATAATTTCATGGGAATTCTTAGTACACAAATTAAAAGTTTTAAATTACTTGGCAAGAATTTGTGAGTTCAAATAATCTTAATGAGGAAATACCTGCAGCAATGCATATTTATCAGGTGCTTTTAACATCTGTCTCTGATACAAAATTATTTTGAGGGTAGTTTTATGAGTTATAGTTCCTGTGGTCAGTAAAAGCAGTCATGACGCAGTATGATACTAGGGGCCAGAAGTATCCATTCTAGTGTCGCCTGGTTCTGCCACTTTTAATCTCTGGGCCTTGAGAATGTCATTTAACTTCTCTTAGCCTGCTTCCCTGTGTGCCAAGAGGGGTCACAGTTCCCACCTCCAAGCGTTGTTTCACAGATCAAATAAAATAAAAAACTGCTAACTAAATGTACATTAAAGAGACTTTAGTCAGCCAGAATATTAAAATTACACACTAAGTGGGGTGGCAGTGTGGCTCAGGGAGGAAAATGCAGATGTGGTCTGGTGCTAAAAGGAACCAACTTGGCTGATTGGCCAACTTTGCCAACTCACCACCTTGGGTGAGTCCGCCCTCAGTTTTCTCATCTGCGAAATGAAATAATAATAACTATCCCATAAGGATGATGTGGGGTTTAGAAATAATAAATGTAAGGCCTCTACCAGGACAAGCAACACGAGGTGCCCAACAAATGGCACCCGTTTCACACCAAAGAAGCCATTTAATTAAGCCGAGTACGCTGTGTGTTTCAACACTCACAGCAGCTGACCAGTGTTCTGCCTAGAACAGTACATCCGTTAGCAGAGTCCCAAATAGCTTCTGCTATGACCAGCCCCTGCCTTTATCCCACTTCGGACTCCAGAGATTAAAGCTGTGCTGGCGGTATTCATATTTCCTGCTTTAAAACCTTACTTTACACAATTTACTAATGAAATCTCAAATGTAAAAAATCAAATTAATACCACGCAATGTGGCAACCCCAAGGGCAGGCTTTTTCCTAACCCGCGTTTCCTCCGTGAACTTACTTCACTGTTTGTTACTTATCTAGAGACAAGGGTGGGGTCCGGGGACCAGGAGAGGACAAAGGCGAAGTGAATCTGCTGTTGTTATCCAGAATGTTCAAGTTGACCAAAATAAGCCACCTCTGACTCGCCTCCCCAGCTCCAGGCCGTTAGAGGCAGGCCCGCCGGAGGCGTTGAGAGCAACAAGCGGAAGAGGGGCTCGAGTCCCACCGCGCCCAGCCTTGCCCCCGGGCAAACCAAGTGTGGCCGGCACCGTCGCCAAGCAGAGCGCGAGTTAGAAGAGTGGAGCTGGGGAAGGGCGCATGCAGTTGGGTTAGTCTGGACTCGGACATGCTGCTGTGCATTCCTGTTTGGCAAACGCGCTTAGGCAAAACAGACTTGATGCTTACAATGATCCCAGCCCAAAATGGAGTGTCTCTGACTAGCAGGGAGGAGCTGATGCTCGCCATGAGAAAGCCCACCACGGTCACGGCGATGCCAAGGGCCAGCTGCAGCAGCGCGAGCAGCAGCGGGAACCGGCAGCCGCAGCACGTCCGGGCCTCCTCCTCCCCGCACTCCTTGGGGGCCCCTTTGCCCGTCTTCGGCCCCATGTCGTCGGGCCCGGCGGCGTCCGCGGCCGGCCCCCCCTGCCTGTGCTGGCCGCGGGGCTGCTTGTCCTTGCCCATGGCCGCTGCGTGGGTGGGTGGGTGCGTGTGCGGCGCGCTGGGCCCCGGAGCGCGGCACTGGGCGGGCTGAGCCTGCCCTGGTATTCGAATTACGGAGGCTGAACAAATATGGAAAACATTTGGAGCCGACTCGCCGAGCCTCCAAAGGCCACAGGGAGCCCGCAGCAGAGGGGGAGTCGAGGGGGGTCGCCAACTGCCAACGCGCCGGGACGCAGGGCCTGTTGGGCCCACCCGCGGGGTGTGGGGAGCCCCGCGGGAGGCGGAGCGGCTCCCTTCGCCTTCGAAATCCTGGGCACTTTATGCACTTTAGACAGGCTACGTGTGTGTGTGTGTGTGTGTGTGTGTGTGTGTGTGTGTGTACTTTAGACAGGCTACGTGTGTGCGCACTTTAGACAGGCTACGTGTGTATGCACTTTAGACAGGCTACGTGTGTGTGTGACTGTTTTCCTCACTCAAAACCCCAGGATGTTTTTGGTTTTGTTTTTGTTTTCTGAGAGGTGCAATGCAAGGTGATGAATGTTTAATCATTTGAGTTTAATTAATAGACAGTTTAATCCAAAATAGGCATTGCTGGGCTCCAAGCTGCGAAGTCATTTCCAGAAGTTAAATTGTTCTTATTTTCCAACAAAGGAATAGGCCCTTCTCCTTCTTTATAAATTCTGCAATCCAGCTGACAAATAAAGTCACTTTTCCCATTGAGGTGCTTGCTTTTGAAAGCACTGTTTATGGAGATGTTGGGCTAATACATTCTCCAAAGTGTATGTGTTTTTAAAAGTTCTCTCTGTAGTTTATATGGACTTCCCAACCAGTCTTCAGTAATCGCCACATCAGTGCCTAGGGGGCTTGTTATATCCCTTGGACATGGACAATTTAATGCAGTCCACATCAGAGATATTTTTAAAGCACCTACAACGTGTTACAACGTAAAGATGTTGAAGATAGATTCAGTCCAGCCCAAAGTCACAGAACGAATCAATAAAACCGATTGTTCTTGTTCCCACATATGTGTACTCAGTAGCACTTAGAGAAAATTTCAGTGAAACCACTAAGAAATTATCCCGTCATTTTGGAGTATTTAATATCTACTTTGGTATGGTCATTGTGACATTCAGAAAGATGTATTTAAAATATAAATGATGTTGCCATGATGGTGGGAGAGATAAAGCCTACTCCTAGATTGCTCACTATCAGCTAATTTAAAGAAAGTCTAATTCCCCGCTTTGTTTTCTTAGAATTATAAACTAATCATCATCAACTCTCCTCGTAAACTGTCAGGTCCTAACAAAGTTACCTTTGAAGGTATAAAATAGATTCTTACTTTATGAGCTTCCACTGAAGCTCTTTCTTATACCTTCCTTCTGGGTCAGTGAGAAAACTATGGTCCACGGAATAAATGCAGTAGCTTGAAAAGCAGAATTCAAACCACACAGGCCAGTGGTCCCTGTAGAAGCAGTAGAAGCAAGGTTCTCTCACAAGAGGAGCATAGGGCTGAGGTAAGGTCATTGTCAGCTGTGGTGTGACCACACCACTAGGATTTCTAGTGAGAACAGACAAATAAAAGCTGGTGTTACACCAAGATACCCACCTCACTTGGGCCTGACTGAGAACAACCCAAATGACAAAACTGTCGTGGTTTTTCTATGTAAATGTGGTAAACATCTTTAGGAAGCTAACTGATTACACAGAAATAATTATTTGTTGTTATGAATAATATGGAGACTAATTACTATCTACTCTGTATTAAGTACATGGTAGGTTCTTTGCACGCTTGACTGTTACTCCTCACAACCACCTTATAATTATAGTTCCCACTTTTAAAGATGAAAAAATTGAGTATCAGAATTATTAAGTGACCAGATTATTAGGCTACTCACCTAGTTAGTTAGGATGGGGGTGAGAGGAACCAAATGTGAACTCTTGTGGATTGCCTATTTTCTTAATTACTTCCTATAGGCAAACAAATGGATTGTGTAAATCATTGATGATTTTAAAGAATTTAATGATCATAGGTAGTATTTTATCCATCACAGAACTGGCTATTGAACCTTAGCCTTGAACCTAAGACTATCTGAGAACTTTACAAAAATATCTTGGTTCACCACCATAATGTATGCATAACAGTCGATGAAGAGCATTATTTCTGTTACTCATTTGTAACTAGACGCAGGCTCTATTTGCTGACCATACAAATGAAACCTGTAGCAGTGAACAACAGCCCAGGTGAACTGTAATCCTTCTAGTCTGATTACAACCAACAACTTCAATTTTCAGCTTCCAGGGAAGGAAGCAGTAATACAGGGAGCCTTACACATGCTCGAATTCCCAACTGCTTGGTTGAATCTATGTTGGAGTGGACCTGGTCTTATAACCATGAGATGATGGTGATAAGAATGGTATTTTCACTTAACTGATATGGGGAAGTAGAAGCAAAGAAGAGTGTGAGTAAAGTTGTCAGAAGGTTAGTGATAAAGAATAATCAAGGCTGGGGCGCCTGGGTGGCTCAGTTGGTTAAGCGACTGCCTTCGGCTCAGGTCATGATCCTGGAGTCCCGGGATCGAGTCCCACATCGGGCTTCCTGCTCGGCAGGGAGTCTGCTTCTCCCTCTGACCCTCTTCCCTTCGTGCTTTCTATCTCTCATTCTCTCTCTCTCTCAAATAAATAAATAAAATCTAAAAAAAAAAAAAAGAATAATCAAGGCTAAAATGGAATGGGAGGGTCGTTAAGGATACAATGAGGAGAGCTTTTCCTTTATTTAACATGTCCTTTCCATTCAGAAAAATCACCATTTCCAGCTCATCACATAGTTTAACAGAAATGAGCAGGGTTTTTTTAGTGTTCATAAATTATAATGTCTCTGTTTTATAGGTTAAGCAATAATCTCTTCAGATATTTATACTACCAGGAAGAAAGGCAAAGTAGAAACAAAGTGTTTTCAGATACTCTACTGGCTACTCTCATAACTCAAAACTAACAGAGATTGGAAATTAAAAATTGCAGAAGAGTAGTTAATACATGATTTGAGATTATTTTGATCCTCTGGGGAAAATAACAAAATTAAGCTTAGTATCTATCTCTGCTGTGTCCCCAATTCCACATTACTGGGAAGTATTTACACTTCAAAAGTTCAGTGCTGGGAAGATGATAACTCTTTCTATAACCAATGTCATTAACAAAATGTCCTTAGGAGATCCAACTAGAAATAATCTTTAAACCAATGTTTCTCTGAACACATGATCTTAGATTCACCAAGAACAAAAAAGATTTCATAGGAAAATTATTACAGTTCCAAGGACTGTATCAAATATCTTTAATATGTAATTAAATATATCAGAGTTCAATTAGATTTGATTTAAAGAGGTATCAGATACTCTACAGAGAACAATTGAAAACTCATTTATGATATGCAGCACGACTGGCCCATATGTAAAATGACCTTACAGGTATTGCTGATATGTGCATGTGTGTGTGTGTGTGTATGTGTGTGTGTGTCCATGTGTGTACAAGAAATTTTAAAAACTCCCATTTTTTTCTATTTTCTTGTTTCCTAGGTCATTAATTTTCAGTGTGTTTTTTGGTTCAATTTTTTTTTTCAGAGGAGTTGACCCATTTGTAATTTTTTTTCATGGCAGTTTATATTGTCAGGGTAAGTGTCATAAGGGAAGTATGCCCTTTTGGTCAACAGAGGGCTTATAACTTCCTCATTCTATAGAGAGGCTATAAAGATGATAACTACCAGTCATTTTCTAATTCACTCCACCTCCTTATATGATGTTATTTATAATGCCATCATATTTTCCTATATATAATTTTCTTCATGTAGTTTTGTCCATGTAATTTCGATGTTTTCACTGCATATGAAGAAATAACTAAATCAATTTTAAATAAGAATACTGGGAGAAGAATGGATAAAAAGTTGTGGTACATCCATACAACAGAATACTACTTGCCAATAAGAAGGAATGTACTATTCACTGTATGTTAATTATACTTCAATTAAATTTAAAAAAAAAGAATGAACTATTGATATAAGCAATGATCTGAATGAATCTCATTAACAGTATGCTGAGACAAAGAAAACAAACATAAAATAATACATGCTGCATAATTTCATTTATATACACATTTTTTAAAGGTCAAAACTAATCTTTGATTATTGAATTTAAGAAGTGATTATGGAGTTGGCATAAGAGAATTGACTGGAAAGGAGCAGGAGGGGACTTTCTGGAATGATAGAAGTCTTCTTTATCTTGGCTTAGGTGATGGCTATGTGAGTGTAAACAATTGTGAAAACTCATTGAACAACACTTAAGATCTATGCATGTTATTTTATGTAATGACATCTCAGTTTTCAAAATGTGATAAAAAGAACTCTAGGGAGTTACTGTATAACCATCAGTAATTAACAACTGAACAATTGGGAATTTTTTAAGTTTATTATTGAAGTATAGTTAACGTACAATGTTATATTAATTTCAGGTGTCCTCAGATTTCACAATGCTATTCATTAATCAGTGCTCACCATGGTAAGTCACAATAGTCACCATCTGTCACCATACAAAGTTATTGCAATATTATTGACCATATTCCCTATACTGTACTTTTAATCTCTATGACTTATTTATTTTATAACTAGAAGTTTGTACCACCAATCCCCTGCATCTTTTTCACCCATCTCTCCACCCACCTCTCTCTTCTGGCAACCACTGTATTTAAGAGTCTGTTTATTTGTTCTGTTTTTTAGATTCTACATGTAAATAAAATCATAGGGCATTTGTCTTCCTCTGACTTATCTCACTTAACAGGATACCCTCTAGGTCTATCCATGTTATGCCAAATGGCAAGATTTTCATCCTTTTTTTTTTTATGGTTGTCCCAAATGCAAGTTTTCATTCTCTTTTCCATTATAATGGAATATATATATATATATATATATATATATCACATCTTTATTCATTCATCTATGGATGGACACTTGGGTTGCTTCCATATCTTGGCTATTG